CGTTGTGCCTTGGCAGTCTCAGATATATATATATATATATATATATAAGCATACCATTCTGGGATCTATATCGGGTATCAACTTTGATTTCATGCCCCCTCGTAGCACGCGATTGCCACCACCAGACATTGTGCCGCTCGTGTCAATGAGTTCTCCGGTCAGTGTTACGACACGATGCTGAGTTCCTCCTGAATTAGCGATGCGAGTGGCCTGCTGCATATCTGATACAAAATTCAAAGGCATGGTATTGAATAAGCACAAAATTTGAACACGAAGCGGGATCAGAGTCAAAGATATGTTGTAATCCACCATGACTAGGAACGTGTATGTTGACTATCAGGGCTTATCGCACGACAACAAAGAACCCACCATTCGCAACGAGAGTATTCCGGAGGGCGAAGTAGAACGCTGGGAGGTAATCCTCGTGTGCCGGTGTGATCAGATCAAACAGCCTGTGGACGTTCTCGGGCGCTTTCACACTCCTCCGCATCTGAAGGATGTCATCAATTTGGGGTGAATACATAATGCGATACCAACGCTGTTTGCGACTACTGCAAAGGATGTCATACACAAATTCCAACGGAGAGACGACTAAAATACATTCACAATATAAAATTTGATTTTCTGCTTATCAATATCCAGAGATATGCAGCTACGTGTATGAGTACGCTGCAAAGGAATGATCGTCGAATCAGTGACCATAATAACAGTCCAGCTCACCTGGTTTACGAGATGTCCTTGCTTCTCTAGAATCAGAAACGTAGCACGTCCTAGTTGCGCAGATCTGAGGTATTCGGTACACTTCTGTCCCGTGGAAACTGTGTCCACAACTATATGGTTGAGAGCGGAACACGCAGTGGTGACCGCGACATCGTACTCGTCCGGGATCGTTCCGAGACTCCCCAAGGGTCCGATGATACCGGGTATCTTGCCGTTGTTCTGATATCGTTTAAAAGTCAGTCATGGGTTGGATTTCAGCATGATACAATATACTCGTATGTCAGAGTCTGTGATGAATTGGCAACTTCAAGGTGTTAGTGTACTGCACAAAAACCGATAGCGACCGAATTTGATCATATATACATTATTGATAACGGGAGTAGGAAACCTATTTGAAATAAATACAGGACGCACCAGAAGGCACGCTGACAATTATATGAATGCTAGAAATCAAGGCATTTTGATTGATCTACACTACATATACCTTTTGCTGGATAAGCCCATTGAGAACGCTGCTTCTATCCGAGGATTCTCGCATAGACGATTTGGCCCCCTCGAGATCTGTTTTCTCCTTTCGAATACGTTCGTTCAGCTCTTTGCTCTGAGCCTCGGCGCGCTGTTGCAATTGAGGAATATATATGGGATCTACCTAAATGCAATTGACAGCACATGTCATGCTAATCAAGCTTTGGGGGATCGCGATAAAGTACGCAAGAAAGCGAATTTACCGCCGCTACAGATATTCTAGGTGGCGTTCGAGCCGCATTCGGGAAGAAAGAATCTGACATAACTGATATAAGCATATATAAGACTTTTATCGATTGTCGTCTAAGTCTTAGTAGGCCAGCTTTCGAAAAGAAGTCGAATCAATCACACCAAAGGGTCGGTCCAGCTGGACTTTGTTAGTATACAAGCCATCCACATACAGAGTGTGAACCTCTTATTTTGTCATACGTACGAACAACCGTTCGATTCTAGTAGTCGGGCTTTTTAGTGAGTTATCAATATAGTACCGTATACAAACACCATAATACAAAATAGTTACCTGGAGCCCCTCTTTCGTTTGCTGCAGCTGCTTCCGACACTGCGTGTCTCGCGCCTTCATCTCTGTAATACTTGCTTCCTTTTTACTGATGTTTGTGCTCGTGTTTGCTAATCGCTCCTGCGCGTCTGTGAGCTTCTCTTGTGCCTACAGCATATGTGAGTATATCGAGACGATAAGACACTCTCTTCAGAAATAGATGAACCTGACAATTTGCGACACATATTACGAAAACCTTAGCCTATTATCCCGACTCGAGAAGCTTTACAGAGTCGAAATTCAGAAAAGAAGTGTCTTTCAGTAGAAGCACGAAAAAAGAAAGCAAGATGAGCACTGATCATATAAAAGGACCTTCCTAATAATTCAACGTACCTGTTTGTGTCGGTTGGAGGCAATATCTAGTTCAGACGAGCACATGTCGCATCGTGACTGGAGTTCATTCATCTGAAGGAAAAAGTAGCATTTGGATATCAGTGTTAAGGATAGGCGAATTGGCGGATATGGTGATGAGATTCCTTCTCGAGAGCAATGAAAAGGTACGAAAGCATGGGTTACAGGTCTCAACGGCCCAGGAACAACAAGTAATTCTAATGCGACACTGAATGGGTCGAGATGGTGCAGCTTCGGCCGCGCGTGGTCAATCTTCGATGCACTGAGTGAATTAGAAATGTTACACCATCGTATTCATGAGCGTAGTACATGCGACTACATGCAAGTTGCACGAGATTGAATGACCACTCATTGACTATTGAAAATGCCACGAGTAGTATTACGTATGTGGTATGCGATGAATCTATACATGACGAGCATTTCTTACCTTTCTATTTTCCGGTTGTAACTCTTTCTGTTTCTGCTCAAGTTCAATTTTGAGCTCGCCAGTTTGCTCCACGAATTGCTCTTCGATCTGTCGGAGAATGGTTTCCTCTTTCTCCTGCATGACCAAATCGATAGCAACATATATACACAATGTGGGCCATATTTTTATCCCATTAATGATACGGGCTTGCCGCTTATAAGTCACAGCGACGGAAGGATTGAGAAAAGTTCAGCAACACCATAAATCGCAATAATCGCATCGGTCTGCATCTGAACCTACCAGCCTGGTGTTGAACTTATCAATGTCTCCACTTTGCGAGTTTATGAATTCCTCCTCCTTCTTAATTAGGTGTTGCTGTTGCTCGATGGTCGATGCATCCGCCTGGCCAACATTTCATGGGAGTGCAGAACACAAAGCTGATTAGCTCGAGTGAAATAATCAGATTTACGCCGCAACAGGATTTATACTTCTTCGAGAAAAGAAAAAAATTTGCCTGAAACTGTGAAAATGCATAGTGAACCGTGCAAAATTTCATGCAAAACAAACTAACAAAATGATTACACATTCATTTAACGATATTGCTTGGCTATCAATCGATGTGATGAAAAGTGTATGACCTGACTGAGCTTCGACCGTAAACGCATACCTTCAATGATGCATCCAATTTCTTGCCTTTCGTTTTTCTGTGTTTCAAATCTTCTCTGAATTTAGCGTCCTTGCGTTCGAATGCAGCAAATTCATTTTTGGTCTTCGTCACCTCCTTGTCTAGTGCGTCGCACTCGCGTTTCTCGCTGATAAGAAAAGAAAGTAAGATGAGTGCGATGCGAGCACGCGACGTGACAATTCTCGTTGCAGGTGAGACAAGGCGGCAGTAAAACCACTTAGTCTGTCAGAGATCACAAAATAGAATAGTAGCTTGCGCAACACTGCGCAATACAACTCAGCTCTGCATATATTTGCAACGCATAGTAGTTTATCTCGATTGTATTTCATTTTACTACATATCTTGCTTATTTTGATTATATCTATAATCATTGTTGCAAACTATGGATATAGTGAGACGGGTATCGTCGCTAATCTGGTGTATTAGAACTCTCCAATACTTACTCTCCAATACTTCGAAAATGACCAACAACTACGTGTCGATACATACTTTGCATATTGGCTTTCAATCAATTCCATCTCGGCCTTCTCACGCTGCTGCGACTCGATATGATCGTTTAGCTCCTGTTTCGCTTTCTTTTTCTCAAGCACGGCGTTATCGAGAATCGCGGTGTGCTTATATTTTTGCAGCTGTGCAAATGAAAATCACCGGAAATGCGCGCGATAATTTATCTATTTCGAACTGCTACCAGCGAACTGTGCGAGTTCATACTTTATGCACAACCCGTGCCTCCAAGAAACTCGCGACCACCATCACACGCTCTCTAAATAGCACTCCTGACTACTTGTCACATTAATATCCACATTCCCGAAATTAATATCATACTCGTGGTGTGGGGGGCCTACCTGATACAGCTTGCTCTGGTGTCGAGTACGGGTGTTGCAATCGTTGATATACTTCATAGCCTCCTTCATTGGCCCCTCCAATCGCTCCTTCTCTTTGCCCACGGCTTTGACCCGGGCAAGCTTCTCTTTGCGCTCGTCGTTGAGCTTTTCGGCCAAATCGGCTGCCTGAGTGATGGGTGTCTTAAACACATCGCTGCCTATAAGATCTTCCAGGTACTCGAGGAGACCTTCATCATTGCCATCCACCGCCTTCGGCTTCATCATGGAGATGGACTCCACCTCTCCCTGTAATAGAAATCGAATACATGGATATGAATACCGACACTAAAAATCCCAGTGAATGCTTTAAATTTCGATACATCATTACATCACAGATAACTTAAACCTGGTGCATATTGTCCAGAAATGACCAATCTTGACGAACAATTATGTTGTCAGTGTCCTTGACATGTGAAAACTTGAACACAAATAAACACGTAAATATCACAAAAGAGATTGTTCGTCGTAGGTATCACAATACGAACCACCAGATCCTTCAGACACTAGACTTGCTTGGGGCAACACACTGACTTTGTGAGCATCATGTGGCATTTACCACCATCGATGCCAATTCGCGTACCTGAAGGATCAGAAAGCGGTTGTGATCTAAATCGATGCCTTTTGCTTTGAGGAGTGTCGTTACATCGTCCACCTTCGCCACTTTACCATTCAAGTAGTATGTAGATGTACTGCGTCGATCTGCCTTTCGCGCCACGATCACCTCTGTCCCGGGCACTACCTCTAGTACGTCATCATCCTGTCACCGTGAAAATTACGCAGTGGGATATACATCAATTCAACAACAGGTTATATGATGCACAGCACACCGACAATCGGGTATATAACTAGCTCACCTGATCGCTCAGAAAACACACTTAAAACAACAGTGTGGAGTACAACACATGGCTAAGAAAGAATGCATGTAAAATTCTGCTTTAAAATCGTACGCACTGTGTAGGTAGGCTAGGCGACATAGCGGGACGCCGATCAGAAGCATACACATCGGTTTATGAACTAAGGGCACTACTGCCCCGAGGGACATGACACACGGCAGACACACAGTATTCTTTGCAAACTCCAGACTGAACCGAAGTTAGGGCTGATTACCAACAGATTACCAACGCCGCCGCGGATTACCAGGCACACTACGACACCGGATATCCATATACGGTGAATGCACCGAAGCTGTGTATACGCAATTGTAAGCATATATAGGCACGACCTACCCGATCGACGATCTCGCAGAAGTGAACGTACACACAACAGTAGTCTAGATTGGGGAATTTATCCGAATTGTGAATCAACTCGGACAGACGTTTCTGTCTGATCTGTTTGGCACGTCGACCAAATACGAACAGCAAAGAGTCGATCACATTGGATTTCCCGCTACCATTCGGTCCAACTACCGAAGAAAAGCACTGAAAAGGAAGATTATAAAACACGCATTTTGAATGTCAAATTAGTATGCAATCGAGAAATTGCATGGAGTGATGCTGGACACTTCCAGACAATGTCCTAATCTTTAAAACAGACATTTCTCAGTTCTCATGTTTCCCCTTCAGGATCTTAAAACATTCAGACA